ACCAGGCATTTTACACGGAACAAAGCATAAGGAGTCACATTTCCACCATACACACAACGATAAACCGACCTCGTCACCCATGCGGATATCCCGGATGTGGAAAAACATATTTGAGCAAGGAAGCTGTATGCCACCACGTGAAAACTGAACACGCCGAGAATCCGACTCGATTTCCATGCACACTTTGCGGTAGAGAATTCAAGGCCAGATACCACCTTGAGACGCACATTCGCACCCACACCACGGAGAAGGCCTACCTCTGTTGACCTGTGGGAGGAGGTTTTCAGAGGGGAGCAATTTAAAAAGGCATCAGGTACAAATAAATACTGTATGCCTCGTTACTATTTTCTTGGGTAGAATAATGGAAAACAATAACAAAACTTAAATAAATAAATACTTCTTTCATATTTTACAGCTTACACATTTGGAAAAATCTACCCGAAGGATTTTCAAGTGTGAACTTTGTCCTCGGATCTCCATGAGTAGAGATGACTTAGGAAAGCATGTCCAGTCTGTGCATGACAATCAAAGAAATCATCCGTGCACATTTTGTGACAAAACATTCTCGACAAAACGCAATATGAAACGTCACGTGGAGACGAGACATCCGGCGAATCCGGAGAAGGCCTATTCTTGCGACAAATGTGAATTCAAGACCCACGCGAAAGTAAATTTAGTTCAGCACGCGAGGCGTCACAATCCAGCGAATCGATGGGAATGTTATTTCTGCCAGAAGGAGCTGTTCTATTTTGGGGAAATGGTGTCACACTTCCGTCGTCACACTATGGAATATTGATCCTACAGCAAATTAAAATTTAAAAAGTCGACAATTTTTTTCGGAAAGGTCGATCATAAATACACCTGTAATTAATATCGTCTATTATTTACATTGAGATTCTCACTTTGAGAAGCAGCATTGAAACTATTTGTTAGAAATTTTTTGATGGATGAACAAGGTATTAATAGTGTTTAGAAATCATACTTTCATAATATGTAATGGTCTGAAATCTATGAGAAGTTTGTGAGAAATGACGTGCATTCATGTCCGTTTTTATGTCTCACTACCGCATGTATATAGTTATTGATGAAATTATATTTCCAGCATTAATTAATAAAGTAACGTAATTTTACAACATTTTTTGACAAGTGCATATCCATGGAAACGAGATCAGGATACTTATTTACATAAGCAGCTTTACGACATTTGCGAAATACATACATAATATGCAAATATCCTTACGAAGGACGCAATTTTTTGATCTTCTTAAGTTTGCTAAATGGGTTTTGAGGCTAAATATGAACTTGAACCGCTAAAATTCGATAGCTAAAAAAGTGAAGTTCTTATATTCTTTAACTTTTTACCGAGAAGCGATTATTATTGAATTATTATTATTAAATTATTATTATAACTTTTTACCTACAATTTTATTACTTACGTGAAACTACGTTTTCCCGGGGAATTGAACACGGGCAGGTACTTACGTATAGGGAGAAATCTAGACTGCCTCGAAACCGTTACACTTGGACGGTCCCATCTCTATTTCGGTCCACAAGGAAGGGTAGTCTGGTGGAATGTGCGTATTGTCACAAGCGTAAATACTATTCACTAAATACAAAGCGTGTTGCAAGATACAAAACTCACTTTTATTTTTGAGACAACAAATGTTAGAGACAACTGGGGTTATTGAAATTTGCATGTGTCGTACCCAGATACTCAAGGAACAGTTTGCAAAATAACTCTTAGTTCTATACAGCAACATGCCGCCACACCCCTCCATGGAGTGCGAGGTAGGCGTAAAATAGTTTTCCAAAGATGAATTGTACCATAAAAAATTATTATGAAACTGGCGACAACTGAATTCAACGCCAGTCGAACCCTTATTGTTACCAGTGAATTAAATGACGCTAGCAAAAAGAGGCAGGTATCATTGGCTGGAGTCCAAGATCAGCCAGCATCGAGGACGAGTTACGCTAGGTTGCAAATTTCGCCAACAAGAAAAATCCGTCACCACTGATAAATATGCAAAATGTTGGGGGTGAGTCAGGCAACAGTTTTTAGGGTCATTCACTCTCGCCTAGTTAGACTAACGCGTAGGAGGACCCAGTGTACGCCCTCAAGCCGTCTTATGTACATCAAGAATTTCGAAGTAACTTCGAGATAACTGTATGAGAAATACTTTTCCAGAATTAAATTTTATACTGTAAGAACTCTTGACGAGTCGCTTGACATTATTCCGAAAGATTATTTTGGATTTGGGTACTTGAAGCAGAGATTTTCAATCGGACGGCTCAGGCGTTAAATGTGTTTTGGAAAATTTTGCATTGGTGGGTGGAACAAAATCACTCCAAAAAAGTGTCAAACGTGATGATGGCGTTCTATCATTTTACAATTAGCCGGCCTAATTGAGGCCGGCTGCATGCATATGCTTATCTTTTTACACCCATTATAAGTTTCGACAAATATTACAAAAACGTTCAGCTTATTTATATAATCAATAATAATAACTTGAAATCTATTAATGATTGCGAAAATTGATTTTAATCGCATGAATTGCCCCTCCATTTAAGGAGGAATATCTGTACGTGTACATAACTAGCGTAAAATGTAAGTTCGCTAAATTCAATCAATAAAATAGAGTAGTATATTCCCATAAATTTTTCAACCTCAGATTTCAACTTGCAAGCCCTTGGTGTCATAAAAATTCTCAGATTTCCACCTTTATTGTCAACATGGAACCACGTGGTGCCACAAACAATTTGAAGATCTGTTTTTGTAGCGTCCCAATCTAAAGTCCAGTTTTCGTGATTTCTTCTGCTGCGTCAAAAGCTGGAATTTGAGTTGTAAATTAGTTGTAACAAATTGGATTTTTATAATTTTTAAATAATACTTATAAATATACAGGGTGTTAATAAAGTCCGATCCCATTTTTCCTGTAAAAAAGTGAAGGCTAGTATAAAAAAAAACTACCCGTGATACTTACAAAAAATGTTCGACATATTTACCTTAGTATTTGGTCTTGTTACCATTTACTTTAACCATGCCCTCAACTCTTTGTTTAAGGCTCTGTGCGAATTTTTCCAATGTGCCTCTGGAAATCGAATTCTATACATCTTGAACTTTTTTTTACTAGCTCTTCCCTCGTCCGGGGTTGTGGCTCTTTGTATACATTTTCCTTAAGTATGGACCACTGGTTCTTCAGGGGATTCAAATCTGGGCCGTTAGCGGCCCACACCCCCTTGCTCCAGACCGTTGAAACTTGCGTCTTGATGAGACTCAAACTCGCTTTTGCTGTATGGGCTATAGCACCATCCTGCATGAAAACTATTTTTCTTTCATTCGGAAATATTTCCTTGTTCCCCATGCTATCGAAATAGATAGGTAATATTTTTTCCATATAATGCTTTGCATTGACTGATTTGCCTTTTGGTATGATATGTAGAGGGGTCACGCAACGTGCACAAAATCCACCCGCTACCATAACTTTAAGCCCGAATTTTGGGATCGCTCTTGATGGTACATCCGATTTGTTTTCTGTCCTGTAACGAACATTTTGTTGGTTCAATTTTGGATATAGTTCAATAATAGATTCGTCAGTCCAAAGGATGTGACTGCGCAATTCTTCACCAAGTCTTTTTTCACTCAAATGGGCACTTTTCTGAAGGAGTTCTTCAAATTTCAGACGGTCATCGATATATTTTTGTGACATGAGAGGTTTTTTTGGTTAGTTTGTAAGCTGTGTGACCCCACTTCGTAGTTTTCACAAATTTTTGCACGGTCACACAGTTAATTTGCTTCTTCTTCTCTTTATAGCGTTTTGAGTCATTTAACTCCCTTGCTCAATTACGTAATGAACTACCGGTTTTCTTGCAAAGTCTGTTTTTAATCATTCTTTTTGTGGTAGGTGACACCTTTCTGGGTCGCCCTGGTCGCTTTTTGTCGTGGACAAAATTTTTATTCTTCCATTTCCAAACAGTTCTGCGGCTGCAGCCCAATTTTTGCACAATTTCTGTAGGTTTAAGCCCCTGCTGATGCAATGTTTGTATCTCAACTCTAAGATGCTCATGACTTACACGTTTAGTTGTTCCTCCCATGGTAAAAATTTGAAATAAATAACTTCACTGGTTCAAAAGTTCCAGCTGAATTTGTAACAACCACGCTCCAAAAAATGCATGGGATCGGACTTTATTAACACCCTTTATACTTTTATAATAATTGTAACCTAAATTGTTTGCCAGAAAATTAAACACGGGAAGGTGTGCATGTACGTATGCAAAGAAGAAAATGATGATGGGTTTTTTATATGAAGGTATTTTAGGTCACAATCATGAGAAGTCATGAGGTACAAATGTGTGTCAACATAAGCGACACATTTGAAGCGGGGGAGTGGGAGGGTGGGTCGATATCTGTAAAACCACGAATTTTGAGTGAAATAATTTCCGAACGTTCCACAGTGAGGGTTGCTTTAAGTGTCTGCAAATTGTGTGAATATCTGCATTGCAGTTGACAGTTGGCCCACAGCGTAACATTCCTAATAAACTTTACGATGTTATTTAAACACCGAGGAAGGGTTGCTTTGAATGGTGGTCAACATTTTGGGTCTTTCAGGGCACTGTGCTTGTGTGAAGACCTCGTGCCTTCACTCGCTTTAGGACTTTCACGAGTTCTGTACCCTTCTCTTTCTAAAAATAGACTTGGTCTGAAATTTGTAAGAAAAAAAATCTACAGCAGTTTGGGTTTAGACTTTTACGTTGGAAGGCGATTTAAACTTGAAATTTCGTCAACAATACGAAATCAATTCATTAAATTATTTACGCAAGAAATAAATATTGCCATTTCCTGTAAGTATTTTAACTAAAAAGTGCAGGGAGTACAGTTTATTTACTAAATTCCTTTAAAACTAATGGTAAGATTAAGAATAATGGATCCATGTTGAGGAGACGGATTTACCTGTTCCACGTGTGTAAAGTCGTTCAACACTAAACGACACTTAACAGGTCACATGGTCACGCACGACACCGATGCCAAGGTGAACTGTGATGTAATTGATCTATTTATACCACTATGAAGCAATTTTAAAACTCGACCAATTATACACATAATTTTTGGACAACTTCTTAGTTCTGTGGATAAATTCGAAAAATCCACGAGGCGTAGCAATCCACACGAACATACTTCACTAAGCGGGACCGACCCAGTTGCGGCATTTGTCACCGCATATTATTTGCTCCTTCAACTTTAAGGAGTCACATTGTTACTATTTGTTACCGAGCACAGGACGATGAAACACGTATTCCATGCGGATTTTCCGCCTGTGGAAAAACGTACTCGAGCAGGAATGGTCTATCAAGACACATAAAAACTGAACACGCCGAAAATCCTACCCGATTTCCGTGCGCGGAAGAGAATTCAAACTCAGAACAAACCTTGAGAGACACATTTCCACCCACACGACGGGGAAGGCCTACATTTTTCCACTTGTGGGAAGAGTTTCGGCCATCGGGCAACCATGAGGAGTCACGAGGTAAAAATAAATATTTGTGTGTTCCATGTGCGCGAGGAGATTCTAAGGTACAAAAAATTGGACCTCGTAAATAGTTTGTTTAAATGAAGGAAAATGCAGGAAAAACTCAGCGATGCATAAATGTTCCTCCATTTGCAGGCGACACATTTGGAAAAATCTGTCCGAAGGATTTTCAAGTGTGAACTTTGTACCCAGATGTCCTTGAGTAAACCTGACTTACAAAAGCATGTTCAAGTTGTACATGAAAATCAGAGGAAGTATCAGTGCGCATTTTGTGACAAAAGATTTTCGAAATCGGGCAATATGAGACTCCACTTGGACGCGAAACATCCCACGAATCGGGAGAAAGTCCATTCCTGCGACCAATGCGAATTCAGGAGTCATTCGAAAGTATATTTAGTCCAACACGTGAAGCGTCACAGTCCTGCGAATTAGGGGTGTTACTTCTGCCAGAAACTGTTTGGCAGTTTTTCAGGATTAGTGAGACACTGTCGTCGGCACACTTTAGAACAGTGAATATCTTGAGATATCTCTCTCTCTCTTATCAGTGAAATTTGTTGTGCGTATTTTTTGATTTTAATATACCAATTTGTATTTATATTATGAGTGTAGGACGACTATAAATGCATATGCGTATACTTATTTTATTACTGCCAATTCAAATTTTAAAATTCGATTCACACATACTTGTCAATTTATTGCGGAATGTCTGAACTTGTCTGTAATTAGTAATTACTAGGGATGTGCCGTCATGACATGTCATTGACAAATTGACATATTGACATGTCATAAATGTCCAATTTGTCAGACATTTAAAATTTGCGACAAATATGACAAATATGACACATATGACAAATTCAAAATATCATAAATGTCCAATTTGTCCGACATTTAAATCTCAGACAAATTAGACACTTATGACAAATTGAATTTCACAAATGAACAATTGTCAGTGTGATCGACATTTATTTTAAGCAGTAAACTAAACTTTTTTGAATTTTTTCAAATAAATCTGGAATGTCCCGTAATTTCGAAAATTTCAAAAAAGTTGAGTCTACTGGATATGGTCACACAAATATCTGGGATCACAAAAATATAAATTTTATCAATATTCGAACAAAATTGGATTTTGGTGAATATTTGAAGTTGGTAACTTCTGCAGCTCTTATCACTTTGAGGGGGTGTGGCGGACGCAAATGTGGCCGTCCTACATTAGATTAGAGGCATCACATATTCAAAGGGCATCAAGATCTAAAGAGGGGCATGTAGAGGGTCTCTCCTATTGAGTCAGTGTGTGCAAAAAGGCAGCCTTTTTACTTTTTGTAAATGCTTTTTTGCCTTGTTGCCTTTTTCAATGACCTTTTGCCTTTTTGCGTGCCTTTTTGATGCCTTTTTGCCTCTTTCCTGCCTTTTTGCTCGATTTTTGGGAACTGAACCCGATTTATTGTCGTTTATATCTTATTATATGTTTTTAAAATTGTATTTGAGAGTTCTGACTTTTATCAATACTTCAAATTAGTTTAATACTTTTCCCTACATATCTTCAGCGTTGTTTCTACATCGCCATCAGCTTAATTAATCAAATTTTGACTGAAAGGTCATATTTGCGAAAAGTATAAAAAACGCAATGAGTAACTTTCACTTTAATTTTATCACGGGGTTTACGTCTCATCTCGCCCCAAATTAGCAAAAGGGCAAAAAGGCAAAGAGGCAGGCAAAAAGGCACTGCCTGCCTTTTTGCTCTGCACACCCTGTATTGAGTACACATAAGAATTTTTTTATTCAAACATTTGTCTGTAAACAATGGCTTATGTATATCCAGAATTAATACCATTGATAAAATAGTTAAATAGTAATTGGTAAACTTGGAAACAATTGATAAGTAGTATCATAGGTAAATTAATTAAATCAATTACTTAAGTGCACTTGTCTCGTTTACTTTTGCTGTTGTACCCTTATTTGAAGATTTAAGCAACTCCTGCCTTAAAATCTGCAATATCTTACTCTACGAACTCCATCGTAGGGTTTTAAAATTTTCCGTAGCTTAATTAATCGAATTAAATCAATGTATATACCAATGTTTATTTTCTTGATAAGGAGGCATTCCAAAAGACTCAATTACAAATTCTAAAATAAATGGGGAATATTGAGACAAAATGTCATATTTGTCCAATTTGTCCAATTTGTCCGTCATATTTGTCATAAATGTCGGACATATTGAAATCGTGACAAATTGGACGGACAAATTGACAAATATGACATTTATGACAAATATGACATTTATGACAAATATGACAAATATGACATATATTCGCTTGACACGGACAAGCTCCATCCTTAGTAATTACAGAGCATTTTTCATCAGTAATTATTAATTACTGATGAAAAATGCTTTGGAGAATTTTAGTAAGTAAGTCAAAGTTGCAATTTTTAACGAAATGACTAAATAAAAATCACTGTAATTTTTTAATCCTTATTTCCAATATGCAACCACTTAACTGCTGCAGTGTCATAAGAATTACCGGATTTGCATTTAACATGTGCATTAATAACCAACATATGCATAAATAAATACATATGCCAGTTTTACTCTGGTCTGGTGAATGCAGAGAAATTACAAATAAAAGTACTTGTACATTGCGACAATAACCTGAAATATCTGTACATTCGGTAGCTAAAAAGTAAAAAGTTATCATTTTTATATAAGTTGTACGTCAAAACAAAAATAAAGTGGTGTTAAATAAGGATAATATTTAACTGATCATAATTTAATACTACTTTTGACCATAATTAATACTTTTTCCCCGAATACTATTTCTCACCATAATAAAGTGCTTCCTTGTGTATAATAATTACTCGATTTTACCATAAGTAAAAATACACTTTAAAATCGCTTTAAAATATGAAACTTTAAAAAACTTTACAAACTTTTCGATTTTTAGGCAATCATTCCTTAAACGTTTTAAGTAACGTTTTAATATCATGGAACTTTTTCTTTTCCCTTCCCGCGCGGTATCCTTCCTATACTATTAGTATGGTAGGGATACGAACGCGGGAGGGTAAAGAAAAAGTTCCTTGATATTATGTATCAACTTTTTCTAATCGCTTGCTTCCCACAGTGGATAGGTGTGAATGATTTTAGTAATTCAATTCTAATCCTTGAATGTAATTGGATTCTAATCCTGCATAATTTGGACAATTTGCAGGGGTAATTATTCTTCGCAGATATCTTGTCCGTATATTGTCCAAATTTATATTCGAATATTTTCAAATTCCATCTTTAAAAAATATAGTTTGTATAATCCTCGATCTGGCATGAATTCAAACATTTTTTTAAATTAAAAAATGTTAATTGTTGCATTTTAATATGCAAATATATTTGCATTAAAACATATGCGTGTCCACACTAACCCCTCCACTGGCCCCACTTACCCCATTTGGTGGGGTTACTGTGTACACCTGTTTGATTTATTTTAAATAATTGATAAATATTACTTCCAATTATATTTTAAAACTTTTTTTGATCATAAACTAAAGCGAAATAGTTGGTTGATAATGCATGTGTTCAAAATAAGTATTTTTGACTCGGAAGCATCTTTAGTTTCACTGAAGAACGCAGATTCGGAAAAAACGTGGCCCCACTAACCCACACTGCCCCTACTATGTTTAACAAAGATATATTTTTACTCAATACTTGTATAATCCTCGCTCTGGCATAAAAAACTAAAGAGTATTTGCCAATAATTTGGTTATGGTAGACGGAGGATTTATTATGTATAAGTCAGTATTCTAGTTATGGTCAAATTAGATTCCATTATGATGAAAGAAAGAATTTGGGACAAAAGTATTAATTATGGTCAGAAGTAGTATTAAATTATGATCAGTTAAATAGGACCCGTTAAATAATATTTAGTGTAGCCCTCCGCGCTCCCAACCAAATAACCTTGTTTCCTCCGCCAGCCCGAAATCTAGTTCCACCGAAATCCCTTGTTTTCTGCATTGTTCGTGGTGACTGAGTTTAAAAAAATTGGCACACATATGGTACACATTGTCAACTTCCAATTCCCAGCGCAACCCGACTCCTCACTGGATTAAGGTACTAATTTTTTTGATACGTAATATCTGGGTGACCCTGTGATGGATCGCCCATCTCCTTTTACGCCTGACTTTTAGTTGCCTGCTGACAGTAAGTACCTGCAATTTAGTGTTTGTACATATATAAACTTACTAGCGTATAGCCCGGCCAAGGCCGGGTTCTAGGGTTCCAGTGGGGGGTGTGCCCAAAGCGAAAAATCCGTCATACTATACTTTAAATAATTCCCAGTGGAGGCTTTCTCATACCACATACGTACATCAGAGTGAGGGTTTGCCCAAGTCATGCTGCATTTTAATTAATCTCGTCCGCTGGTGGAAAAAACTTTTTCTTCCCGGTATCCAACATTGCCAAAAAATTTCCCGGTCCCAAAAATTTCCCGATTTAGTGACCTTTATAGTAATTCTTCTCACAAACGCTTTGGACAATACAATAGTACTTAGCTAATTACTTGGTGGTTGGTTTACTAATTGTAATTAACATGCGTTTCTATTATTACACTGCATTTGATGCTACGTATATTCATTTGTGGGAATAAGAAGCAGGAAGTTTTGTTATATTTTTCAGCGTTGATCTTCAGTCCCGCGAAAGATCAGATCAACACTGCGTGTACATAGATAGGAGATTTTAGAATTTAATTGAGTGTAGTAAGGAGTAGAAACTACTACCAAACTAATGCTTTCAGTATTTTTGATAAGAAGTATTTTGTATACAGTATGGTAAAGCTAACTGTATATACGAGGAATGAATCGCGTAACTGCAAGAGTTCTCATGTTACAAATTTCTGGTTGATCTTGAGGATCAGTAAGCTTCCGATTTGAAATCAATTTTTCGAAAGTGTTTTCCCCCATTTATGCATCGTTGAAGGCGAGACCCACAGAGCCAGTTCTCGGTGGAAGCACCCACTAAATTCAAGAACCTTATACCATACATAATGTGATGCATAAGTTATTTGACGCATTTATCTTCTACCTCTTTTCGATAAATTAGATTTATGGGAACTATAGCCAACCAGCTCACGCTTGCCAAAACAATCACAGAAATAGGTCATTTGCTTTCTAGCGACCCGTAGCATCGGGGAGTCCAACATTTGTTAAAGATGGCTATCTTTCAGGGAATAATTAGTATTACAGTGTCATGTTGCAAAGTCTTCAACAAAATGTTCGATTTGAGTGATTCGATTTGAGTGTCTGCCTTGTCACATTAACCTATATGTATGTAGCTAGGTTTCGAGGGTTCTTTGTGGATTGCTTCGAATTGAAGCCTTCAGGGCATTCTTCTTGGCTGGGGTTTTGTGGGTTTCGAAAATGTCTTTTTCGACCGTTCCTTGTCAACCTAAATAGTCTCCAGGAATCCTTTTCTAAGGTCATGCAAATTAATGGCTGTTGGCTGTAGCCAAGGAACAAATAACCTTCCGAAGTGTGCGTTTACAGGTCACCTCGAAAAATATATCATAAGAAAAACTTTGTCAATTTCCAACTGATTTTGCTCAAATTTTGCACACTATTGGGAATAGGAAGAACGCCATTTTTGACGACTCCATTTTTAAGTAGATGATTTTTTTCCGACTTATGGGCCAAAAACACCCTCCAGGAGGATGTTTCT